AGGTCATCCAGCCAGGTGCAAGTGGAGGAGTGGGGAATCAAACCCGGTTCTTCCAGATTAGAGTCCACGCACTTAACCACTACACCAAACTGGCAAAGGTACCACTTTGGTGGGAAGGTAACAGCGTTCCGTGCGCCTTGGTGTTTAGTCGTGCCGGCCACATGACCACGGAAACGTCTTCGGACAGCACTGGCTCTTCGGCTTTGAAACGGAGATGAGCTCCGCAACCCTAGAGTCGGACTCGTCTGGCTTTCGAGCAAGGGAACCTTTACATCTATTAGAATTTTAGCTCAACTATAGATTTTATATTTTAGGACTTTGCATATATGTCTTATTAACCTCATATATCTCTCCTTATATATAATTGAATAGTGGGTGCCAAAGTTCTAATTCTAAAATGCACTCCCTTAGTGTATGGCTGATGGCACTGCTCCTCAGCATATATCGCCACCAATCAGAAGGCAAAGCCCGGGTCCCGCCCACACCACAACTGCTGCGACAACCTGGTCTTTTGCATATGGAAGCTGATTGGACTTCAGTCCATTCCACACCTCAAACTCCCCCACCCCCACAAGGCAGTTGGGATTTTCAGTTGCATAACATACCTCATAGGGGAGAGGAGAATGGGTAACAATGGTTACCACTCTCCAGGTGAGGGCTACAGATAACTCAAACATACAAATGCTCTTCAGGTAGCAGAGATCAGTCCCTCTGGAGAAAACAGTGGACTCTGTCATTAAACCCTGCTGAGGTCGCCACAGGAAACTGACACTGTTTGCCCAAAGCCAGAGCACTCTCCCAGAGCCTCTTTCTAGATCCCGTTGTATTTATTTCCGCAACGGGCATCATTTCTAGTGTATATTATAAATTTGTAAAACTTATCTTGCCAATGTGGATAGTTTTGTTCTGAATTTATTGTATGTTGTGGAGATTTTGGCAAGATGTTATGGCCTAAGGCTACATCAATAAACCATGTACTTACTTACTATATGTATGGACCCGTAACATCCATTTCAATGTATCTGAAGAAGTGTGCATGCACACAAAAGCTTATGCCTTGAATAAAAGTTGGTTGGTCATAAAGGTGCCACTGGACTTTAACTTGGTTCTCTTCTGCTGCTTCAGACCAACATGGCTACCCACCTGAATCTTTATTCTATAAAGTTAACTTACATCCATTTGGCGGGGATACAGCGATTACAATACATGAAGCAACATACGAGGGGCTGAGTAACAAACCACAAGGCTGGCCCAGAATTGCCATGGGGAGGCCAAGAAGAGGAGATTGGATTTATACCCTGCCCTTCACTACCCAAAGGAGTCTCAGAGTGGCTTACAATCTTTTACTTCCCCACCCCACAACAGACACCCTGTGAGGTAGGTGGGGCTGAGAGAGCTCTTTTGAGAACTGCTTGTGAGAGAACAGCTCCGAAAGAACTTGTCACTGACCCAAGGTCACACCAGCAGCTGCATGTGGAGGAATGGGGAATCAAACCTGGTTCTCTTAACAGCTACACCAAACTGGCTCTCTCCAAGCACCATCTTGCTGCATCTTCTCTCTGTTGCTCTGTTAGTGATGCCAATTTGCAGACATTGCAATTTGTCTGTCTTCACATATGTATGAATACTTGGGAAGCCAGACTTTGTTATTTTATGTGTGCCTACTTGCATCGCTTATGTTTAAGCCTGAACCACTATTTAAATTCGTTTCATTAAAACATATCGCTTTTATTGGTGTGTTCTACCACATGAAAGTCCTATCTGGTCTCAGTCAGACTACCAGACTATTTCTTCCAGAGTCTCAGGTGCGGAAATAGGGAAATCAAATCATCCTTGAGAAGGTGCGTGGAGTTGGGAACCCTGTGGTCTTCTGACAGACATAATTGAGCACCTTAAGTAACAAGCATTTTAATAACTGTTTGATAAGGACTGCCCAGAGTAGACACTTGGAACTTTAAAAAACTGGGCACAGATTTTTATGACCAACTGCTTTTTAAAATTTCCTGTTCGTCTTGCCTTTGGTCTATCCATTTGTAGTTAATAACATTAATTTTTTTTTTAGAACACGGGTCTCAGTCTCTAATGGGAAAATGCTGCACCAGTCTGCAATCTCCATTTACAAAGGCTTAAAAGGTCCAGACTTGTGGGTGCATCCATGTTTCTTTCCCACCCCACGTCCCTGGGTTAAAAGACAGAAGAGTTTTTCCCTAGGGAAGAGAAGAAACAAAGGGCTTCCAAAGGGGGTTACATAGATTCATGGGGGATAAGTCTATAAAGGGCTACTAGCCATGGTGACTGTGGGGAACCTCCACATTCAGAGGCACTAAGGCTGCGGTCACACGTAACAGAAGCCACACAAGTGAGACGGAAAACAGCCGGAGTTTCCGGGCGCGATCTCACCAGCACATCTGGGAAGCGTAGCACTCCCGTGGCTCAACCGAGGCTTCCAGCCGAAACTGCGTGGCAAAAAACTAGTACCTTGGAGGTACTAGTTTCCGGAAACTGCGGGGCAAGGGCGGGGGTCTGATCGCGTTTCCGGAGGCATCCGGCGCCCGCCCATGTCCCCTTGCAAATAAGGTGGGGTTTTTTGTCCAAGTCTCTGTGGATGCGCATGCGCATCCAACGGAGCATGCGCATTTGTCATGTACACAAAAATAAAAACCAGTTTGCCACGGCACGCGCTTCTTCGTTGCGCGCCGGCTTGTCCTGTGATCGGCACCTCTCCCTTGCCATGGAACCTCCACGGTGCGTAACTGCACAGTAGTTTGCCCCAGGGCAAACAGCCACGCTTCTCCTCTGCAGTTTCCTGCCCGTGTGACCGGGGCCACTGTCTCTGAATCCCAGAGGCAGGAGGCAACATCAGGGGAAGGCCTCGGCCTCTATGCCCTGTTGTTCGCTGTCCAGAGGAACTGGTTGGCCAATGTGTGAGACAGGAGGCTGGACTAGATGAAATATTGGTCTGATCCAGAAGGGCTCTTATGTTCTTATGAAGGCCTCAGCCTCTCTGCCCTGTTGTTGGCCATCCAGAGGAACTGGTTGGCCACAGTGTGAGACAGGATGCTGGACTAGATGGACCACTGGTCTGATCCAACAGGGCTCTTCTGATGTTCTTATGAAGGCCTTGACCTCTATGCCCTGTTGTTGGCAGTCCTGAGGAACTCGTTGGCCCCCGTGTGAGACAGGAGGCTGGACTAGAAGGACTACTGGTCTGATCCAGCAGGGCTCTTCTGATGTTCTTATGGAGTTGAGAGCTGGGAGCAGAAGGGACCCTGGGCATGAGTTTGCCCCTAGCTGAACAGTTAGGCCGTCCTTCATCACCGTAGACCAGGGCTTTAGCTAACACAGGGCGCATGGGGGCACTGCCCCCTCCAAAACTCCCACGTGCCCTCCTCCCAGTCCCTGGAAGAAGGCTATGCACAGAGCAGCTGAGGAGAGAGACAGTGGGCCATCCCTGGCTGCCTGCCACCCACCTGCTGCCTGCCTGAGCAGAGCTTCACCTGGTGGAGCCTGGAGGGGCGTGAGGGGGAAGGGACAGGCAGGCGCCGTGGCAGCCCTTTAGCCCAGCCCCACACAGTCCCGTGTCTTTCCCTGGCTGCACGGCAGCCTCTCGGCCAGGAGAACGAAGCTGAGCCTGGAAGGCGGCTGTGTGTTCCTGCTGTTGCCGCTGCCGCCGCTCCTCCTGATGGGACTCTTGGGTCAGCATGCAGAAGCCACCGTGGGTGCTCTTCTCGGCTTTCCCGGAGGGGAGGAAGGAAAGACGGGGGGACCTGGGCCGTTTCCCCATCGCCCTCCTCCTCTGCCACACTGTCAGTGCTACTGTTCACCCCGCCTCGGGCAGCCTCGGGCTTCGAGCTGCTCCCGCCACACGCAAGGCCCTCGTTGCAGAGGGACAGAGGGAGAAGAAGAAGAGATTGGATTTATACCCCACCCTTCGCCTGAAGAGTGGCTTACAAACTCCTTTCCCTCCCCTCCCCCGCCACAGAACCCTGTGAGGTAGGTGGGGCTGAGAGAACTCTGACAGAAACTGCTCTTTTTCAAGAACAGCTCTGACAGAACTGTGGCTTGCCCAAGGTCATCCAGCAGCTGCATGTGGAGGAGTGGGGGAATCAAACCCGGTTCTCCCAGATTAGAGTCTGCGCACCTAACCACTACATCAAACTGGCTCTCAGGAGACTCCGCTCTCTGCGCCTGTCAAAGTATCCCGCAGTAGAAGGGCGACAGGGGAGGGGGGGCTCCTCTATTTTTATTATTTTTGTGACATCAGAAGTGGCGTCATGCCCTCCAGTCCCCCCCCCGAAAATAGTCTAGCTATGGGCCTGCCCCAGACTTGATCCTTCCAAGATCCTACCTGTTCAGGGCTTGCTGACTTTCCATGCAAGTGAGAGGAAAAGACTGGGAAAAATTCCGTAACTCGTTTGCATCCTGTCTTACTGTGATTCCAACCGTTAGCCGGATACTGTAACATAGGCGATTATATGATTAAATCTAGAGAAAAGTTATATTTTGGGAGCTGAAAGCAGACAGAGAGACTTTTAGCAGTCCATTCAGGTACTCCTGGTCCATGGTTCTCTCAAGTAGATATTTTATTTAAATAGGGGGAAAGACAGCATTTCAAGGTCATAAATTAGCAAAATATATACTGCAGAATTCTACAAACAAAAGATATGTTTTCCTACAGTGTTTTCAGAGATACCTCTTTAATCAATTCTATGTCACTGTTCTGTTAATCCCTATAAAAAAAGAACAGCCTCCAATGTGTACTAAGGATTAGCCTAGAATGCCAATTAAAAGCACATACCCTGTTTCCCCGAAAATAAGACCTACCCAAAAAATAAGCCCTAGCAGGATTTCTATGCATTTGTGGTATAAGCCCTAGTGTGTCTTCTTGAGAAAAAATAAATATGAGACAGTGTCTTATTTTTGGGGAAACACGGTAGTTATGATTCCCAAGACAACAAAGTTTCAATGCTATAAAGCGAAACAATGACAAATTGGTAGGGCTTAATAGTGTTTACTTAAGAGTCACCATTCCCCAAGGCTGAGCATATCTACTGTTTTTCCCTAGTGTGAATAAGCACATGTCTCATAAGGTTGGAGTGCTGACTGAAGCAAAATCCACATTCCTGGCATTTAAATGGCTTCTCTCCTGTGTGGATTAGTTGATGTCGAAGAAGGTTTGAGGGGTTATTAAAGCAACTTCTGCACTCCAGGCAATGATACGGTTTCTTCTTGTTCTGGGCCCTTGAAATTCTTTGCATCTGACTGACGCCCTTTTTACATTCCCCTGTCTCTGCATCTTTATGTCTCCTAAGAGTTACGCTGTGACTGAAGCTTTTCCCACAATCCAGGCATTGGAAGGGTTTCCCTTCTTTGTGGATTCTTTCGTGGTCCATAAGCCTTTCGCTCAGACTAAAGCTCCTTCCACATTCCAGGCATTTATATGGTTTTCCCCCACTGTGGAGTCGTTGATGTTTGATGAAGTTTGCATTTGTCGTGAGCTTCTTTCCACATTCCAAACACTCGTGCAACTTCTCTCCCGTGTGTAGTCTTCGATGCATTGCAAGGCCTGAGGTATGCCTAAAGCTCTTTCCACAGTCCAAACACGTATATGGTTTGTCACCTGTGTGGGTATTTTGATGCATGGTGAGGTTGGTGCTCGCAATGAAGCTCTTTCCGCATTCTAAACATTTATATGGCTTTTCACCTGTGTGGTTCTTTTGATGCCTAATGAGGTTTTCACTCTGTGTAAAGCTCTTTCCACATTCCAGACAGGTGTATGGTTTCTCACCCGTATGAATCATTTGATGTCGAATGAGGGTCGTACTTTGCACAAAGCTCTTCCCACATTCTAAACATTTATACGGTTTTTCACCCATGTGGTTTCTTTCCTGTTGACTCTGGCTGAAGCTATTGCCAGGCTTGGGGGAAAGATACGGTCGCTCCCTTGCATGGCTTTTTTGATGTCTAACGAGACACGATCTTACAATAAACCCCTTTCCACACTCCAGACATATATAGGGTTTCTCTCCTGTGTGGGTTCCTTGGTGCACAGTAAGGTTCGATTTTCCACAAAACCTCTTTCCACATTCTAGACATTTATATGGTTTCTCTCCTGTGTGGATTCTTTGATGCAGAATGAGGTATGTACTATATGCAAACTTCTTTCCACATTCAAAACATTTATATTGTTTCTCTCCTGTGTGGGTTCTTTGATGCACCTTAAGGGCTGAGCTTTGACTGAATCTCTTTCCACATTCCAAGCAGTCATATGGTTTCTCCCCTGTGTGGATATTCCAGTGTGCTTTCAGGTTCGCTATACTAGCAAAGGTTTTCCCACAGGTAGAGCATTCAATCCTTCTCTTTCCTTCCTGTATGGCTCCATGGTAGCTACCACTGAGATAAGCAATCGATTCACTATTTCCTTTATCCAATTGGTTTCCCACCATTTTTCCGTGGACGTTATGAGTCTCAAACTCTTCTTGCACTTCTAGAGTCGTATCACTTTCATCCAATACCAGACAGCTTTCGTTTTCACTAGCTGTGTCCCATACATCTCCAGCTGAAACAGAGAACCGTGGTATAAATTTAAAGAAGAAACAGAAGATCAAGTCAGAAAATGAATCTAATGAAGCAATTCAAACGACTGTGGAGAATCACAGAATACTAAGGATGTGTCCAAAAGAGAATACCTGCTACCTAAGATTGTCACTAATTACAAACCCTTTCTCTGATGAAAAGATGGGAACAAGGAAGTGCTGTCTCCTTTGGGAGCAATACCAGTCATCCTTTTCTGCTCTGGAACCCCACTGTCAACCTCTCAAATGATGGGCTGCTTATTGGTTCCGACCCTCTGTTTGTCCCTCAGGTTAGAACTGCCAAACTAGGAGAAAAACATATCGATAAACATATGGAGCAGAGGTCCATCAGTGGCTATTACCCACAAGGTATAGATGGAACACTGTTTTCTCTTCTTCTTCTTCTTTTCAGGGCAGTGATGCTCTCAGTGTTTCCTCTAAGCTGAGTTAGTGTGAGCTAGTTCACATTTTTTTAGCCTCCGGCTCACACATTTTTGTCTTAGCTCAGGAAGGATGGCTCCAGAGCAAACTAGTTTATGCAGTAGCCAAATCGCTCACTCACAGTTTTAATGCCAGTCAGGGGTCATTTTGTAGAAAAAGAGGTGCAGGAGCTCATTAGCATAACTTATTTGCATATGCCACACCCCCTGACATCACCGGAAGTGTGTCAGAAGGCAACACCCAATGCTCAGGCTCCACTGGACTGTTTTGGATTGCTAGCTATTGGGGGGAAGGAATGTGCAGATCTGTCCTGGCAGAGGAAGGAGAGCTTATACCTGAATAAAACTTGGTCTTAAAGGTGCCACTGGACTGTTCTGGGCCGGGGGGAGCTCTGTGACTTACCTGGCTGCTTCTTGCTCTGATTGAGGGCTCCTGGGAGCAGGGGGTGGGACTTGTTGCATGTGCCCGCCCCCTGGGCTCTTTACCCCCGGAGCTCCGCTCCTGTGCGCTCCTGCAGGAAATGACCCCTGATGCCAGTAGCTCACAAAGTAGAACTTTTGCTCACAAGACTCCACAGCTTAGATAGAACATTGGATGCTCTGTATTCTTGGTTCTGGGGGGGGGCAACAGTGGGAGGGGTTCTGGCCCCGCTGGTGGACCTCCTGATGGCACCTGGGTTTTGGCCACTGGGTGACACAAAGTGCTACACTGGATGGGCCACTGGCCTGATCCAACATGGTTTCTCTTATGTTCTTATGAGACAAAGAGCTGGCAGAAAGCAATTTTTGGGTTAACTGATAATAGAATCTGTCACTCTTCATTAGAGCATAATTTTGTTTCCCCGAGTCATCATTTTTCACATTTTACCGTGATATCAAAACCTGGAGGTGGCACCGTGCATCTCTGGACCACAGAGTGGCCTACTCAGATGTAATAATGCTGTGAAAGTTCCCAGCCGAAGGATTTATTTATTTTATTTATTTTTAATTTTTATTTACATTCAATTTATATACCGCTCTAACCCCAAAGGGTCTCTGAGCCTCTGCCAGTCTTTACAGATGACATTCTAATTCTATAACTCATAAGAGGAAAGATTTGTATTGTTCATTTGTTATTCTGAGGAGCTGAGGATATCACTCGGTTCCCCCCCACCCAGACTTTTCCACAAGTGACAGAACACATGGCCAGTTGCCCCACTTACACATGCCCTATTTGCCCGTTCAGATGAAACAGGGCTTCAGAAGCCAAAGGGGTTGCAGGACCAAACGTCCCACTCCAAAAAGGCTAAGGATCTACATCTTGCAGAATCTCTTTCCCACAGCTGCCCTTGGACATCATTTCCACCACCACCACCCCGCTCTACCTGTCCCCAGAAGCTCCCACCTACTAATCATACCAGCCCCATTTCCCAACTGCCCCCTCCTGCCTTCCACAATCCTCTCACATCACTAAGAAGTTGCCCACTCCCTCCAAAGTTCTGAGCTACCAGCTCCATGTAGTCCAGTACCAACCCATTCCGCGTCATTGCCTGCTGGTTGGAACTACTTCAAATTCTGCACCTTCCACCTGCCTTCCTTCTTGTACTGCTAATCTTTCAGGGACTGGGAGAGAACTAGAAGCCTGTAGCAACAGCCACTGGGAAGTCAAGCCTTTCACCCAACTAAGGATGTAGTTCCCTAGCCCTAAATTCATTTGGGTAGAGCAGCGACAGGGTGTTCTGCCCCTAACAGTCTCTGGTTTTATTCATTCCACACTCAAGATTGGTGACTTGGTCAAGATACACAGTGACTGAGGGAAACCTCCACATTCAGAGGCACGAAGCCACTGAATCCTAGAGCCAGGAGGCAACATTAGGGGAAGGCCTGTTGTTGGAACTGGTTGGCCACTGTGTGATAATACAGAGAACAAGAAAAACTGGAAAAGTGATGCTTAATATATGTCTTTAAAAAATCATAGAAAAGTGAACAAAAATAATAACTGCTGAGCGGTCGGGTTAGAATGGATAAGAGGAAGTACTTCTTCACCCAAAGAGTGATTAACACGTGGAATTCACTGCCACAGGAAGTGGTGGCGGCTACAAGCATGGACAGCTTCAAAAGGGAATTAGATAGGCATATGGAGCAGAGGTCCATCAGTGGCTATTAGCCACAAGGTATAGATAGGGGCTCTGGGGCAAGTGATGCTCTGTCATCTTGGTGCTTGGGGGGGGTCAACAGTGGGAGGGCTTCTAATGTCCTGGCCCCACTGGTGGACCTCCTGATGGCACTGGTATTTCTGGCCACTGTGTGACACAGAGTGTTGGACGGGATGGGCCTTTGGCCTGATCCAACATTGGCGTCTCTTATGTTCTTATGTTCTTAATATACATAATCATAGAAAAATATATTGACGGTGATCTCCGGAATGTCTTGCCTTCGAAGGAAACGAAGGACATTCCGGAGATCACCGTCAATATATTTTTCTATGATTATGTATATTATTTTTGTTCACTTTTCTATCATTCTTTAAAGACATATATTAAGCGTCACTTTTTCACAGTTTTTCTGGTTCTCCGTATTATCTCATTACTGTGCCAATCAATTGTTAGTATACCTGTTTTTTGGATCTAATGGCCACTGTGTGAGACAGGATGCTGGACTGGATGGAACATTGGTCTGATCCAGCAGGGCTCTTCTTATGATGAACTTCCCCACAACTAAGATACACATTAACTGTATTGCTATTTTTTTCTCTCTCTCTCTCTTCACGACTATATCATCCTCCTCCCATCTTAAAAAACACTCACTTTCATCAGCTGTCCTTTGGAAGAGCATATCCTCGGGCAGTATTCCTGGAGAAGCCTCAGGCCTTTCTCTTGCCTCACGGCCTTCCTGAAGAAAGTCCTCCTCTTTGGACTCTGTCATGGTCTTTTTCATCCTTGGGAGGCAGAGAAGACTGTAAGGACCCCCAAACTCTCAGTCCCACTTTCAGCAAAGGCAGGAGAGGCCAGAGAGGAGAAGAGTGGGCAGGTGAGAAAGCACAACAAAGGATACAGAAACCAGATCAGTAAACTCATCATACCTCGTGCCACAGAAGCTCACTGTGTGACCTTAGACCAATCCCATTCTGTCCGTCTAACCTATCTTACAGGGTTGTTGTGAAAATAAAATAGGACAGAGGAGAATGCTGTAAATTGCAACCCACAAGACTGGGGAGTTCTCGTAGTTTCAGGTGAGTGACCGTGTTGGTCTGTAGTAGAAGAGACCAACAAAACTGGGGGGGGGGGGGGAAAAAGAGGGGGGGGGCAAAATGAGCTTCCTCAGATACTGAATTAGACTAACTATGGCTCCAAAACTGAAGGGGAGAAAATGAGGAAAGGGTGGAAAAGTCCGACAGAGGCGGCATTGCTCATGGAGTAGTAACTCTCAGAAAGATCTTCATTCCCTTCCTTGGGCTCTGCCTAAAAGAAATGAATATTCAAGAAACTCCTCCTGAGCAGTGTTCCCTCTAAGCTCAGCTAGTGTCAGCTAGCCCGCAGTTTTTTTAGCCTCCAGCTCAAAGATTTTTGTCTTCGCTCGCTCGGGAAGGGATGGCTCCAGAGCAAAACTAATTCATGCCAGGAGCCAAATCCCTCGCTCCCAACTTTACTGCCAGTGGCTCACAAGGTAGAGTTTTTGCTCACAAGACTCCACAGCTTAGAGGGAGCATTGCTTCTGAGTAGGTATATTATATCTGTTACAGCAAAAAAAAGGCACTTTAAGGACTGAACACATTTTATTCCCTCATCCGTGTTCATGAGCTACTCGACTGCCTGATGCTATCATATTCTGTGATCTGCTCACTCACTGCCTCAGACTTTTGAAAAATCATACTTGTAGTTCATCTTGGGTCGCAGTGAGAAAGGTGGACGGTATATAAAAATCGTGCACACTTCATCGATTCTCAGTGAGAAAGCTGGACTATAAATGAAGTAAATCAGATCAATGCCATGCGGAGTCACTCCAGTGCAAGTCCACTGAATCACATACAATGCAGCTAGATGTGAATCCAGTTCCACCTTAAGAGACCAACAAGAATTTTGGAGTATAAGCGTTCAAGAATCAAAGCTGCCTTCATCAGATACAAGGCCGAATGGAGATAGTTTCAACCAGGGGTCATGTCGTAGAAAAAGAGGTGGAGGAGCTCATTAGCATAACTCATTAGCCTAAGTTATTTGCATATACCACACCCCCTGACATCACCGGAAGTGTGTCAGAGGGCAACGCCCACTGCAACTTACCTGGCTGCTTCATGCTCCTCATGGCCCAGGGCTGCTGGGAGCAGGGGGCGGGGCTTGTTGCATGTGCCCGCCCCCTGGGCTCTTTACTGCCGGAGCTCCGCTCCTGTGAGCTCCTGCAGGAAATGACCCCTGGTTTCAACTTGCACTCATTCACAAGTTCAGAAAAACGGATTCCCCCAGGGCTGAACAGGCAGGGCCGGCTCACTCACTAGGCGATCGCCTAGAGCGGGCTGGCCCTTAGGGGCACCAAACTGCACCCGGCCCCGTACTCTGGGAGTTTCTTGA